TTCAGGGGCTTATCACTTGCTGTCGAAAAAGTTGAGGGGCTTAAGATGGGTTTTTGCCGGATAAGAATGAGTTAAAAAATTTATAATAAAAAAATTTTAAATTTTGATAAAATTATAATTAATAGATGAAATTTGATTAGATTCTAATTTTGTTTAATTAAAAATTAAATTAATGTTAAATAGTTTAAATTTTAATTTCTAACTTAAAAAACTACAAATTAATAATTAAGATGAATATAATTAAAAATTTAAACAAAAAATTTATATATAGATTTTTTAATAGCTTCTAAATTATAAAATTTTTCATTTAAAAAAAAAAAAAAAAACTCAAGAGAGTATGCAATTCCAGAGGAAAGTTAAAGAGGATATTTCCAAGGTGTTGGTATAGGCCCAACAGGCCCAACGCCCCAAACAGGACTGTGCATAATGGACCTGGGCTACCACCTATTAGCCCAAGCTGAAGGAGCATCAGTACAAGCATACCCACGTGACCAATGACACGTGGGTCGAGGGGATGCTTGCACGTGCAGATGTATGTCAGCACCAAGGGACTATAAATACCCCCCAACTACCTCCGATGAAGGTAATTAATCTCTACGCTTCTCTCTTTGCAATTACTCCTTGAGAGCATCTTTCTCTAGAATATTGAGTATTGCTGACTTGAGCGTTGGAGTGTTTTCCCCGAGGAAACATCATCGGGATTTTCAGGTATAGAAGCAGCTGAGAACTTCAACAGTGTTGGATTGTGAAGCTGCCGAAACATTGGCGCCGTCTGTGGGAACACCGAACAAGAAGTTGTGTGACTTAACCTGTTGAAAGACAAGATGGTCCGTACCTTTACAGGAGGTCGCCTTCCAAGAGATGAAATGGGCGAACAGGAGGATGCTCACGTATCTGAGCCCGGCCTAAATGACTTTAGACCAATGCCGAGAAACCTTTTTGTAGGGGGAGCCGAACAGGATCACCTAAGTGAGACAGATGATGAAAGAACACCAACTGGGTATGTAACCCAGCCTGAACAGTTCCACGTTCCAACAGGAACAAGACGAAGACCTTCTAGACCACACAATTCCCAGCATGAATGACCTGAAAGGTCAACAGAACCTGCTCGGACAACCGAGCTAGAAGAGAGGACCAGAGTTCTCGAAATGGCAATGGGAAAAATCCTTGCCCGTCTGATTCCTGATGACCCCCTGATTCCTTTACTGAACAGGGATGCACAACCAGCTGCGGTTGTGGCAACTAGAAACTCCCCCGCTCTAAGCAATATAGTAGTGCCGACCAGGCCAAGGGGAAGTGGGAAGTTGAATATCGAGCCCAGCTCGTCCAAACATAGTGAAGAGTTGATGAGAAAAAACGCAGACCTTGAAAGGCAGCTGCGGGATGTACAGAAATCCATTGACGAGCTGAAAAGCCCCAGGTCGCATCAACAGACCTTGGATTTGGATAGTGCTCCGCTGAACCTATCCATCACCGCAGAACCATATCAAGAGGGATTCAAAATTCCCCACCTAGAGACATATGATGGCACGAAAGACCCGGATGAACATCTACACACCTATCAAGCCATCATGAGGATTCAAAACGCCAATGATGCCATGATGTGCAAAGTGTTCCCGGCGACACTGAAATCAACAGCCAGAAGATGGTATCACAAACTCCCCAGACATTCAATAGATTCATTTTCCCAGCTCGCCAAGCTGTTCTCGAGCAAATTTGCGAGCCAAAGGGAGATCAAGCGCACAGCAACTGAGCTGATGCAAGTTAACCAGAAGGAAAGGGAGTCCTTGAGGGATTACATGCAGCGGTTCAACAAAGCCACATTGGACATTGATAATGTCCCAGACACGATCTGCCTGTCCGCCCTGCTGCATGGGTTGAAGCGTGGCCGGTTCCTAGACGACCTGCTTGAAAACCCACCGAAGACGTGGAACGAGGTGAATGACAGGTCGGCCAGCTTCATACTGTCAGAGGACTTTCAGTCGTCCAAGCGACGAGCTGATGATAAGCCGAGCAGAGGCCAAGAACAACAACCGAGAAGAGAAGAGAAGAAGAAGCAGAAGGTCGGTGAGCAATGGGGGAAACCAACTGAGTTCCCGAAGTATGCCAGTTACATTCCTTTGACCTTACCTAGGTCTCAAATCCTGGCACAAATTCAGCACTGGGTTAGGAGACCTCCACCCCCACTGCATGATTCCCCGAGGGCAGATAAGAGCAAGCATTGTGACTACCACCGTGTATATGGTCACAACACAGAGGACTGCCAACACTTGAAAGACGAGTTAGAGTTTTTGGCTCGTAACGGGAAGCTAGAAGGGTATGTTCAGAAGCCTCACACCCAGCAACCCACTCAAACCCATTTTGTACAGGCGTACGACCGACCTCAAGGACAGAGGTACCAGCATGGAGGGGCGCAGGATGCATATCAGGATAACCAATATCCTTCTGAACAGGGCAGAGCATACCGAGGACGTCCCTTCAATAGGAGAGGGCAGGGACCGAGAACTACCGCCCCGAATCAAAAGGACAGGAAAGGGGTGGGTTATGCAGGGATACCCCCACCTTCTGGTACAATAAACATGATATCGGGTGGTGTCCACTCAGGGGGCCAAAGCGCCCGAGCTCGCAAGGCATATGCCCGACAGGTGATGACCGTCAACAAAAACAGACCCCTGAAACGGCCGTTTGAGGAAGCAGAATGGGAAAATACGCCCATCACCTTCAGCCCGGCAGATTACAAGCGAGCAGAAGGAGAGCCTGACATTATGATACCCCATGCGGATCCCTTTGTGGCAACAGTTCATGTAGGCAATCATAATGTCAATAAGGTGTTTATTGACACTGGCAGTTCGCCAGATATCCTGTATTGGGGTTGCTTCCAGAAGATGCAGCTAAATCCGAGCTCGCTGCAGAGACATGAGGGCCCTATATATGGGTTCGACAACCAGCCCGTCCCGGTTGAGGGAGTTATTACTCTTCCTATATATGTGGGCTCAGAACCGCGCTTCAGGATGGCTTCGGTCACCTTCCTGGTCGTTAAGATGGAATCAGCTTTCAATGCTATACTAGGAAGAGCCACCCTGTGCGAGCTGAAGGCTGTGATCTCACAGTCCCACCTCTGTATGAAGTTCCCAACTCCGCAGGGGGTGGGAGTGCTGAAGGGGAACCAGAAGATGGCCAGGGCATGTTATCAAGATACGTTTAGAAAGGTTGAGCTCGCCGTAGCCCCTGGAGGATCTGAAAGTAGTAGGCCGACTCAGCCCGGCCAGCAGACAATGAGCATATCGGACATTGAGCATAGACACGAGGGTGTCGAGCAGAAAGCAGAGCCGGTAGAGCCAGTGGAAACCGTTCCTTTAAACCCTGATGTGCCGGAAAGAACAGTAAGGATAGGCACCAAACTCACAGAAGAAGAACGAGCAGAGCTTCTGAAGTTTTTGAGGGTCAATCAAGATGTGTTCGCATGGACTACTGATGAAATGCCTGGCATCCCGGCAGAGTTAACAGTCCACAAACTCAGCACAGATCCTACCAGAAGGCCGGTGGTGCAGAAACGTCGCCTTTTTGGCTCAGACAAACAAGCCGCCATAGACGAGGAGATACAAAAGCTGTTACAGGCAGGCTTCATTAGAAGAGTGGAGTACTCTGAGTGGGTGTCCAACCCTGTG